ATCACTCATTAAAAATTACTTATTAATTATTTATTCAATAAAGTATGATTTTTATGTTATTTTATGTTCTATATTGAAATGTAAATATTAAAATCTTTTAGGTTTTAAGAGAAATTTTTATTTTCACATAGTTATTGTTTAAATATCACTTAGTTATGACTATAAATACTAAATTTAGATGGGCAATCTTAATACCTTCGGAGATATGTAACGTATCCATTTTAATTTACGAGAATATTTCCTGCGCTGTCTCTTTTTATAATTGCTATTTCTTTATTGTTTGTCATTTCTATTTTTTCTTCCTCTAATTATTTTCTTCATATACATTTTGGGTATATAGTAATGCCAGACAGAGGCGAAAGGAATATTGTGCAAAAGTCCGATTTATCAAAATGTCTTTTAAAAATTTTCTTTTATTCGTGATTTAAGAACATGTCTAAGTACACGTTGGTGCCCGTCGGTCGAATGTCCCGTCCGTTATTCCATATCAACTCTCTTCCCTATACTTTTCTCCTTCGAGATTATTCTTAAATAATAAGTATTTTAATTCTTACAAACAAATACAGTTTCGAAGGAAAACCTATTTGCTATTGTTTGTCTATTGTCTGGATCGTTAAACGTTTTGAATTATATTTTTCAACCCGCAGGAATTCGGTATTACAAAGACTTGAAAATAACGATCATGGAATATACAAGGTGTCCCAGAATTGAGGTATGAACCGTAGAGGGAATGTAGAAAAAATCAAGGGAAATAAAAAAGTCTAATACCATTTTATTCGTTCTAATTTAGCCGCCGTTTTCGGCGTAGTCGCGGTGATGTATTTCGGCCGGATGCGAGCAGAATAACTGGCCGGTGTGGCGATCCCGCGTGGCGGTCGTAGCGTGGGATATGGTCGGTGTTGCTGTGACGATCTCGACGGCTGGCCGAGCCGAAGGAAGCTCGTTTTCCTTGTCAGACAGGTTGCCGAAGAGTTCGGCTAATCTCGTCGCACAACGGCTGGCCGGAAAGATGGTATATTGTTTACCTCTTCTAGGTGGTGGCGGTGACGGTGTCTGTAGCAGGCCTTCGAATTTTTTTCTGTTGCTCGCGGTTGCACCCTCGTACCCACGGCCGGAACTACTCAGATGGTGGCGATGCTCCGCACGGTTGGTTTGGCGGAGACGGGTGCCTTGACCGTCGTGGTGGCTGGTCGGTAGCGGGGTCCGGACTTCTCGGCGGTGGTCGCGAGCCGTTCCCATAGGACCTCAAATTCGGGATCGTAGCGTTGAGTCGTGCTTTCTATCTTCCATGGCTGCTGGTCGATACGGGCTTTTTCCCAGATCGGAAATCTCGCGTATTTCTATCATACTGAAGATATAAAAACTCTACCCCGCTCGGGGCCGGAGCGATTCGTGGCTTCGTGTGATTCGTCATATTTTCAATTTGTCTGCTAAACTTGCTTTGTTTAAAACGGTTGTTCAGTCTCAGTTGTTGTCGGTTTCGTCGGTTTTGTTTATGTCGTTGTTCGGTGCCGGCTTTAAATCGTGTATGTGTATATGCCGATGCCACTTTCCCCAGTCGTCGCGCAAATCGAAAATTACCGGAGATATTATTTTTCGTATGGTTAATGGTCCGGTGTACGTAGACGCTAATTTTGCCGCGACGGCTTCGTTTTTATTTGACAGGATGTGCACGCGCCTCCACACCTTGTCTCCGATGGGCTTCCAAGCGCGGTGTCGCATATTATAATGTTTCGCTTGCTTCTGAAACGCCTGTACAAGGTTGGCGTGGACGACCTCATATGCTTCCCGGAGGATGCGGCAATTTGTTTCGGGCGGCGGTACGGTGACGTCGCGTTGATCCGCGGGGAGAGGGCTGTTTAATTCTCGCCCATGATTTAAGAACGTCGGACTATACCCGGTGGCCTCATGCCACGCGGCATGTTATAGGTGAACTGCAACGCCCCAATGCTGCGATCCCAGCGGCGATGATCGCGGTCCACATATTGGCGGATCATCATTTTGATGGTCTTGTTTGTCCATTCCACCGGATTGCATTGAAGCGTGTACGCGGGGGAGGTGCGGTGCACAATATTAAAGATTTCTAATACTTTTCTAAATTGTCCGGAGATGAATTGTCGCCCGTTGTCAGAGACGAGGGTGCGTGGACATCCGTGTCGGTATATAATGTGACTTTCGATGGCTTGCGCGACGGCACGACGGAGTGGTTGTAACTCCACCCACTTTGTAAAACGGTCCTGCATCACTAGCAGCCACGAATGCTCATTCGCCGAGCGGGGTAACGGTCCTATCAGGTCGATCGTAATTTGTTCCCACGGATATGACACGGGGGCTGTGTGTAAAAAGCCGGCAGGTCGATTTTGCAGGGATTTATGCGCGAGGCAATTTTGGCAATTTCGAACGTACCGGGCGGTGTTAGAAAACATGCCAGGCCAGTAGTATAATCGCGCAGCATGAGCAATCGTTTTGACGACACCAAGGTAGCCAGCCGTCGGTTCATCATGCAACCGCCGCAGTATTTCGGACCTTTTTCTCGCGGCACGCATTCCTTCTATTGTTCGTCAGCCGGGACCTCACGAAAGTCGGTAGAATACAAGAAAGGGCGACATAGCTTCCCGTTCTCGATCCGATATTCGGGGAAATCGGTAGGCCTTCCCTTCACCCGTTGAAACTGCCGCTTATACCAAGGGCATTGGATTTCCTGGCGAGTGGAATGCATGTGGGTATTTGTCGGGAAAGCGTATCGGCCACGCGATTCAGCTGTCCCCTCCGATATTTGACATCGAACGTATATTGCTGGAGCTCGAGTGCCCAGCGGCCTAATCGTCCCGTCGGGGATTCTAGGCGTTGCAGCCATCGGAGGACCTGGTGATCGGTTATCACTGTAAACTCATATCCCTCCAGATAGCCGCGCAGATGCCGAATTCCCCACACGACCGCTAGACATTCGAGCTCGGTCGCGCTGTAATTCCGCTCGGCCCCGTTGAGTATTCGACTAGCGTATGCGACTACGCGTTCGCCCTCCTCCAGGTGTTGCGTCAAGACCGTCCCGAGTCCGTGAGTGCTTGCATCGATCTGTAGTATGAACCGACGATAAAATCCAGGCAAAGACCGGGGCGGTAATGAGTGACCTTTTTCAGTTCGCGGAATGATTTTTCTTCCTCCGATCCCCATTGCCACCTGACGCCCTTTTTAGTTAATTTGGTCAATGGGGCGGCGGTGGTGGAAAAGTTCGCTATGAACCTCCTGTACCAAGCCACTTCCACGAATTGTCGAATCTGTTTGATACTGGTGGATGCGGGCCATTGGGCGATGGCTTTAACTTTGTTGGGATCGGTCTGGATGTCACGGCGATTAATTATGTGGCCGAGGTATTTAAGCTCGATAAGGCAGAAATGGC